GCGGTGTCTCAACTTCCGCCGGTAAGTCCTTCCATGATGTGCAGGCCACATACGATTATGACGAACAACACGTAAACACTATGATGGGCGGGTAGCTTAATTATAATTAGATCAGAAGAGAAAGAATGAGACGGTAGCATGATTATAATAAGAATTTTCAATTACCTATTTTAGTGAGATCATTGATGAGTGTAAAATAATTATGGTAGCAATATTCATAAAATGAGGAACTATTAATTCTTTCATGTTTACCGTACAAAGGCAACTATGGAATGAAAAATTAAAAAAAAAAAAAAAGAGGCGGATGATAGGGATATCATGACATGTACCATCACATTAGGAAAAAATATACAAGTCATATAATGGGAAAGATGATGACTTTTAGTTATATAGGGGGTAAATTTCTCTCTAATCAAATGTTAATCTATTAATATGAACCTTTAGCCCCCATAGTATAAAATCTTCAAGCATGAGCCCATGCAATATTGATGACTAGCTACTTCACCGTTGCTTGCTTGTCTAGATACATGAGAATTTTGGATAATACAAAGTCTTCTATTTTCCAAACATGAGGCGACTAGTATGTAGGCATGAGAGTATTTCTTGTTAAGAAAATACTCTTATGTCTTTCAAATGTGACTCTACTTTCTAAATTAAAAGTGTTTAGTGGATTTTGAGAGTTTAATGATTTAAGAGAATATATATTGGATTTACTTAGGCAAGCCAAGATGCTATATAGAGTTGGCTTTGTATATACAAAAGAGTAGTCTCATATTTCAAGTGTTAAAATGACTTTAAGGCACCTTTCTTTTTGCTTAAGGTAGAGTGCATGTGTGCATATATAAATAGCATCAAACAAAGAAGACATGATTCTAGCCTATTCAATTCGAATGGTGAAATCTTTTTACTCTAGCGGTCCTATCTCCATAGAACGAATTCTCATTAAGTATTTTTTGTAAATACATATTATTGCTCCTACTCTAGCTTGATCACAAAGCAAAGATAGTCTAGACTTGATGTCTCGATGATTTTGCATTAACTATGAACAACATGTTACTGTAAGTTACTCTTACCTTCTTCTAAAACTGAAGATGTTTTTTTTTAAACTTGAAGATTTGATCACTGAGCTTTTAGTTTTGACCACAAAGGCGATCTATACTTAATGATTTTGTCACGAACAACAACATGTTATAGAGATCGTCAATTGATTGAGTTGGGTCATACCATCCCAAAACTAATGGGTATGGATTGGGTCGTGTTGGTCTCAATATAAAAAAGTAATTAATGGGACGGGTCGGGCTTTTTTTAAAAATTGTAACCCAAGCCCGTTTATTCTTAAGGGGCCAGGTTGGTCTGGTCCACATGTCAAAAATAGGGCTAGGTCTAGATGGGTTTACAAATAAAATATTATTTGTTATGCAACACATAATACAATCAATCAACTAAGTGTGTGAAAAAGAAATCATTACTTCAAAAATTTACTAATAAAATTATAGTTCAAACTATCTATATATAGCTTATAAGTTTTTGCAAGTACATTCTTGAATTGGGATGCACAAGTACCACATTTACTTATGTAATCTAAGCTTCTCAAACTTTATCATAAGTCTTTATCACCTAACAATCATCAAGAATTTCATTTTCTTCCATATCAGCATTGGTTATCCAATATCTAATGTTTCCTTTTCTAGCTTGCATTCTAGAACTTGGTCCAAACTTCTAAGATAATGTGCTTGTATTTCGATTTAATGAAGATCTTGTCTAAGAAATCATGTGGTACTACTACTATTTTATATTACTAATTATCTATTTAGTGTATATTATTTAATTAATCAATAATAGTGTATAAATGGGCTTTTAGGTTGGGCTTAGTTAGGGTAGTGGGCTGGCCCATGATGAATCATGACGAGCTATACCAATGGCCCCGGATGGATTTCGAAATACTCTATCCCATACTCATCCCTTCAATTAGTAGGTTGGGCTTGTCGGTAGCCCAACCATATGTGATGGACCAGCTCGCGGCCCATATGGGATGGGCCGGGCTTTTTAGCAAATAGGATTATGTGCAGGCCCCATGGGCTAATTAATGATAACCCCTAACATGTTACTATAAGCTATTATTACCTTTTTTGGAAAAGGTCAATTTGACCCTCGTATTATGGGTGAACCGTCAATTACGCTCTCGTACTTCCGAAACACTTAATTGAGTCCATCAACTCTTTGAAAACATTCAATTGAGGCTTTATAACTGGTTGTCTATCGGTTTGCCCATTGCTTGTTGACCTAGCCGCTTACGTGGAGGTCGTCTACCCATATAATAAGCTTAGTCAATATTTTTTAAACACGTCAGCCTCCTTTCCTATCCTTCCCAATATGCTCTGTAGCCTTAATCTTGATTCGAAGGTATGTGTTAGCCGCCTTCCCTAGTAAAGAAGAAAGCTTGTGGGCAGAGATGGGAATGTTGTTGGGGTGTTTCTGGTGAAGTGAAGAAGAGGATGAAAGCAAGGTGAGTTGAAATCCAAAGAGACGCAATTGCTTTCTTTTCCCATCTGAACTTCAGATTTCTTCGGATGCATTGATCTACTCATACACATAACTCCTCTCTCCCTCCCTCCCTCCCTCCCTCTCTCTCTCTCCCCCCCCTCTCCCCCACAACTAATTATGACGTTCTACAAATATTCTCTCCCCCACAAAATTCACAGTTTTCCACCTTGAATCTTTATCTCCCCGGGAAACACAAAATTGGGTGGAAACTCCCTGTTTTCTTCTTTCTTAGTTTGAATGGATGAAATTGGATCGGTTCAGAATCTGCTTTCTGGCCATTTCTTAACCCCCTTGACCTCTCTCTATAGCTCTACAGACTTAATTCTATAAAAGCAACCGCCGCAGGGCTATGGAGCATGTTGGCGAAGGATGGGGAAGGGTTGAGAAGGAGGTTGATGTGTTTAAAAAATATTGACTCAGCTTATTAGACGGGTAGACAACCTCCACGTAAGCGGCCATGTCAGCAAGCAACGGGCAAACCGGGAGACAACCGGTTATGAAGCCTTAATTGAGTATTTTCAAAGAGTTGACGGGCTCAATTGAGTGTTTCGAAAGTACGAGGGCATAATTGATGGTTCGCCCATGGTATGAGGGTCAATTGACACTTTTCCCTACTTTTTTTAACATTCAAGATTTGATTACGAAGTTTTCTTGAGATTTTCCTAACACTCTATTTCCACCCTTCCAGATGAATCTAAACTTGTGACAAACTAGGCTCTAAAGGCATACACGAGCAAGTATATACTACGTATATATATTTAAGAGATAAGAGAGTTGCTGATAGTTATTTCTCTTTTCCTTTATGAGTTATGACTTGTTATGATTCTAGATAATATCCTAAAATAGGATTTCGCTTATAAATGTTTTCTTAATAGTGAAATCAATTGCAAATTATATCCAGCCGCATCATGTAGGAATGATATATTTTTGTTTGGTTATCAATTATGATATGCTCTTTGGTGGGGACAATTTTCATTTTCTGTTTGTTTTTCATGGAAACTACATATAATTGGTCGCCCATACCAAACAAACACGTTTTCACTTCCTCCTCATTAGAAGATCAGAGTTGACAATTTAATTTGATCAAAAGCAGAAGCTTCGAAAAGTCCAAGACTATATATGTGCTAATATGCGTATGCAGTTACATACTGGTCGGATACATAGTTACATACTACGTCTAGACTCTAGAATGGGTTTGATAATATAAAAACTGGCTTCTCAAATTGATGAAGTTGTGGTAGTTGAAGCTGCTTTTGATTACGGCTTTTAGTTAAATCTGCTAAATTATGAAAAATTAAATACTACTTCCGTCCCCCTAAGTTTGGGACAAGAGAAGGTGTCACAGTTATTAATAAAAGTGAGTTTATGTGGTTGATATTGAATTGATAAAGTAAGAATAAAGTAAAAATGATTTAGAATCACACAAATTTTACGAAATAAGGTATGTGACAACTTAGTGGGACGGACCGAAAAGATAAAATGGGACACTCATAGCGGGACGGAGGGAGTATTAAAAGCAATTGACAAAAATGTGACTTTTTTAATCCTTCAGTGGCAATATAATTAATAACTTTAGTAACGTGATGATGTTCTGACTATAATGATATATCTGTAGTAATTTAAGTCATATTTGTGTTTATTACTTTTATTTAGATAAAATTTAACGAAATACCTCAATAATTAATACTACGTATGATATTTATTACAATATTACTTTTATTATACATGGTACTCCTTACATCCCACTAACAATGGGACAAGAGAGAGTGACACACAACTCAATAAAAAGTTGTTTATGTGATTGATATTGAATGACAAAGTAAGACTAAAATATGAATGATTTAGAGTCACACAAACTTTACCAAATTTGGTATGAGACAATCTTAGTGGGATGGACCAAAAATATTAAATGGGACAATCTTAGCGGGATAAAGTATGTAATATTAAAAATCTAAAAAATATTTTGTATATGCAATTAAAATTGAAATAATTACATAAATATGACTAAAATAAAGATGGTTTAAAAAAATATGACTAGTTACTAGAGTAGTATTGAAATCATAGTAATTCATGTTCAATTTTTAAACTTAAGTTATCACAACACTATATTGTAGTAATGAATAGTCATATTTATGTAAATAAGTTTTATTTTAATAATATTCTTGTAAGAAAAACCATTAAAATTGGCTAAATAATTTTTTAGATTATTTGAATCATATAAGCATTTTCAACTTGGAAGTTGGAACACACGAAATAAAAAATTACTGGATTTGTTCAAAAAAGATTTACTGGATATGATAATAAAATTGAAAAGTTGACTATCAAATGAGTGACTAGAAGTCATTAGTCAAGTCTCCTATGTGTGAACTGTGAAGGCGTGAAGCCATTGACCGAACATTCAAAGCCTCGCCAACGCGCTTAGTACACTGATAAAATGCCCTTCCTTAATAACAAAACCCCAACACTACTAATAATCAAGTCGTCTTAATTATATTCTAATCATCACTCGATCGCATTTATTATCGCCACCAGCACAGTTAAGCAAAGCAGCTGCGGCGGCGCTCGATCATGATGACCACCGCAACTCCTCCGCAATCTCCCGGCTTCGTAAAGGAGGAGCAAGAGCAAGTCCGGCCACTGGCCCCGGCCGCCGCCTCCGGATACAGCCACCGCATGGACGACGCAGAAACCGGAAGGCTGGCCGCGAAGGACCGGCGGATACGGAAGTGCGTCATGTGTGGCGGCTGTTGCTGCGCGACAACCTTAATTATAATCCTCGTGGTCATAATATTAGCGTTGACTGTTTTCCGGGTCAAAGATCCCACTATCAAGACAGATTCCATCAGAATCGACGGCCTAAGTTCTCTTATGAATACCAACAGCATCCTTAACCCTAACGTCAACTTGACGCTCTCCGCCGGAATCTCCGTCAAGAACCCGAACAGGGCGTCGTTCAGATTCGACGAGGCGACGACGAGCTTGATTTACGACGGGAGAGTGGTGGGGGAGGCTAAGAGTCCGCCGGGGAACGCTAGGGCACGGCGGACGTTGACCATGAACGTGACGGTCAACGTTTTGGTCCAAAATTTGGCCAGCGCGTCACGTTTGCCGCGAGATTTGCTGGCGGGAAAGATGCCGGTTGCCTTGTCCACTAAGATTCATGGGAAAGCAAAGGTTGTGATCATAAAGAAGAGCGTCACTGTGAGGATGAACTGTACGATGTCGTTTGACTTGTCGAGCCAAAATATTGAGGATCTTGACTGCAGCAAAAAGGTGTCACTTTAGAGCGGATCCGACATAGAAAAATTGTTACAAAAGTTATAGTGTTATGTATGGATGTACACAAAAAATACTACATCCGTCCCAAATTGAGTTGCAACTTTGACTTTTCTTGGTCAAACAGATTCGTTTTGTTCGCTTAATTGGGATGTCAATTTTTAATTATATTCCAATTTGGAGTTTACAACTTTGAAGAGATTTCAATGTAGTTTATGAATATGTAATTTTTAATTATTAAAAATTGAATTAGTTATCAATAAGAAGGTTTAACGTTTATTATTAGTTGACCAAAAAATGTTGACTTTGCAAAACAATTTGGGACGGAGGGAGTATATAGATAACGTAATATAAGTCACAAGCTCCCTGGATCCTCTAATCTATCATGAACCTACATGTATCTTGTGAGCATATAAACTGGCTATAACCAGGGGCGGACCGTAGTACAGACCCAGGGGGGCAAGCGCCCCCCCAACAAAAAAAATTCTAAGGTATATATACACGAAAAATAATTTTCGCCCCCCAAAAAATATTTTGAACCCCCAAGACGGATTTCTTGGGTCCGCCCCTGGCTATAACACGAAATTTGGTTAATTGCATGCTTTCAGTTTTACAATGAATTTTTAGATTTATTATTGTTGTTATGTTATCGCAATTGGCATTTAAATTTGTATGATAGATGCATGTTTAGCATACGGACTACGGAGTATTAAAAAGGCAGATGTGCTTTGCCAGACTTCTCGTCGTAGGGTTTTTGCAGGGCTTTTGTGTGGTGATTTTGCCATTTTGGAGCTTAGGGCTTTCGTCGCCTTCTCTTGTTGCGATTATGTTAATGGCTTTCAGTGGCATAGGAGGACATGCATGCGTTTGCTAGGGTTGTAGTTTCCTAGTTCTTAGGTGCTTTATTTTCCAATTTACAAGGAAAAGAGTTTTTTTGCCCTAAATAAGACTAAATTGTTGTTGAAATTCCAAAATAGGAGTAGGAGTATTTTTATTCCCTAAATAGGACTTTTTTACAAAACTACCCTTCTATTGTCTTCAATCTTCACTCACGGACAACCGCCATCGTCACTCACCCCTTCTCCTTTATTTCCTCTATTTTTCTCACTCACGCACAGTAGCCACTGGCGCATAATCTTCTTCGCTAACCTCTTCTCCTTCCTACTCACCATCGACTTCGACCTCCTCCTCATCTTCTTCCATCCTTCTGTAATCTCTCTCACATAAGGTGGTTGCAAGACGGCGAGCTTCGAGGTGTGGCGGCGATCTTTTCTGCTTCGGTAATCATCTCTGGCCTGTAGCGACGAGTTTGTTCTCACAATCCTTTCTCTTCCGCCTGTTCTTCTCTGGATCTGCCTTCCCCCTCTTCATTGAAGGTGTTAGTTGAAAAAAAAAAGATAATGTTCTGGATATTTTTTGGTCGCAAAAAAATGCCAAGTTATATTATTAAAATGCCATCAAAATGGCACATTTTTCCTCTTCAAAATTTCATATTTTTGTTTGAAAATGCCATTAAAATGGCATTCTCGATTCTGGTTTGGCATTCTCACAAAAATGTTGGCATCGGCGTCGATGGCGTTCAGATCTGTAGCGGCGGAGGCCGGATCTGCTGCGGCGGAGGTCAGATTTGCAGCAGCGGCGGCCAGATCTGCAGGAGCGATTTCCGGTGAACGGCGCCCGCTAAATCTGGCAAGATCTACGATGGCAGTGGCCAGATCTACGGCGGAAACAACTAGATCTGCAGCGCCGCGGTCAGATCCGCAGCGTCGGCCAATTCTGCGGCGGCAGGAGGCGGTGGCCGGCGACTGGAGGCGTTCTAGCGTTCTGTGAGTGGCAGTAGGTTTTACCAAGCTCCAGGGTACTTTTGTCCAATTGTAAATAATAACTCCTATTTGAGAAAATTTTAAACTTTGCTCCTATTTTGATAATTATGAATTTATTTACTCCTATTCAGGTAAATACCCCTAAGGAAAACGAAGACATCTTTTTCTTTTGATTTTGAAAAATGATTTGGTAAACACAATTTTTTGTTTTTTTCACTTTTCTGGAAAATTGGAAAATATTTATGTTAGTAACAAGTCTTCAACACCCTTTAATGATAATTTAATCATCAGATATTAAAATAATACATCTATAACATCAATGACCTCATTATATTATATATTGATCAAATTACTTATCAAAATTCAAAATATTATTGCATAACTTATTTAATTATTGGTTAAATAATTGTTTTATTTTGTAATGGAAACTTTTAAGTAGGATAATTGCAATTGGGTTTTCGACATCGATTGTCGTCAACAAATTTATGGAGTCTTATATGACTCCACAATGGAGTCATATAGCACATGTGTCATTATCACAACCATTCAATTCTATAGTGAATTTATAGTGGAGGACCCTACTTCATGAATGAATGGTTGTGATGGAGCCACATATGCTATATGACTCCATAGTGGAGTCATATAGGGCTCCATAAAATTTCCCGATTGTCGTACGTGTTTGGACATGAATGCTAAGTGCTAACCAACACCCTGGCGAAAATGGTCTCCACCGAGGAGGTACACACTTAAAGAGTAGTGTCTTAGCTTAAAGAGAACGTACATTTTACAATAAAACATGACATTGTATCCTCACACGAGTTAGGGTTGGTTTGCAACTACTCTTAAAAAAGCACTTATCACCTTTTGGCTTTAAAAAAAACACTTATTTTTACAAACACTACAATTTTTATTTTTCTCAGCTTCCGCGTCAAAATTGTTTTTACTTTTTCTATTACACAAAAAAACACTTATTTTACCAAACACTACTCACTTTTACTTTTCAAAATCACTTTTTTATCAAACACTATCAGCTTTTATTTAATCACTTCTCCCCATTTCATTACAAAAAGCATTTTTTTTAAAAGAAGAAGCTCTTGCAAACGGATTCTTAGTAGTGTCTCCTATACTATACTCCGCGTAGAAGAAAGCCCTCAATAATGGAGATCGAAAATCATACCAGCAACATTTAATTTTTTAAGTGTTATACTATTACGTACGTATGTACTTTTGTTGGTTGTGTTTTAAACACTTTACATGATCACTGATCAGATGGTCGTGGTCGAAACTTAAAATATCAATTTATTTTTGGTGTGTGCTTCGGTACCTTGACAAAATCGGAGGTACCGTACCTGTCCATTAATATTAAGACACGAGTACCCCTTTTTACAGCAAGGATCAATTATTTTAATACCTTCGTTTCTCCCCTAATTTGCTCACTTGCCCCTAAATTATTTGACATCTAATTTGTATCCGTTCCAAGTTAAGCCTCCGTTAAGCTACCGTCAAACTATCTTTTTCATTTCTCAACAACTGTGTTGTTCCAATCGTTCTTCTCTATCGAGTGCAAAGGAATCTTGTCTGCAAGAGTGCAAGACCCACCCGTCCGTCGAGCAAGGACGGAGACTCAGCGATGCATCCCCGGTGGGTGTGCTCCTCTCCCTGTGGATGAGGGGAAGTGTTAGGCCAATCGATGCTAAAGGAAAAGACGGTAGCGGGTGGGTTAAGAGCAGAGCCCCTGTCCGAAGCATAACTAGAGGAGTGGCTTTCGAAAGAGAAAGACAAACACAACGAAATTTGTGTAGAATGATTCAAATTCGGGATCTTCTACTGCCCTAATTTCTTGAGAAACACATGCATAATCGATTGGATATGCTATTTCCGATGATGTCGAAAGTGAAGATGTTGGGATCCTTGGCTTACTCGAGGATTCTGGGGACTACAAATTCGGGTATATACTCCTTTCCCTGTGAATTTGTGATCAAATTTGGATACTTCTTTTGAATACTCTTTGTTCTGCTCAAAATAAGATCATTGTTATAACCTGTTACTCAACACATCTACATCTGCAGAAAGAAGGATTTCTCAGAACTTGAACCAATGCTTTTGTGGGACCTAGACCCATCTCAAGGTTTCCATAACCCAGGTAAATTCTGTCAGCATATTTGTTGGGATGGTGTGTTTTGTTTTATTGTCCAATAATGTCTCCCCGGTATTTGGCAGATGAAAAGATTATGTTCTGGCTTTTTCTGCCTGGGCAATATTCTACCGTTGTTGAGAAGGCTCAGCCGTTAGTTTTCAGATTAAGAGGTATGCTTTGTTGTTAGTTATGACTAAATTACTGATAAGTAAAAGATCAATTTGAAAATTAGTTCCTCTCCACAAGATAGTGTGCAACTTCACTATTAATATTTTAAAGTGAGACACCCTTTGTATTTTACTGCGTGCTTGAAGGTCATTTAATAACACTTTGGGATTGAGAACGGGCCCAGGGACGACTTGGGGTAGCACTTTTGAGTCTAAATCTCTATGATTACTCATGCTTTCCTCTAAGCTCCGCTACTCTGTAAAATTACTATGCCTAGAGCAATGGGTGTAACCTTGAACCTGGCTGACACTTTGACCTGTTTTGTATCAGTGCAGTTTAGTGGGTATCTAAATTACAATAAGAATAATAATCATAATATAATAATATTAACCACCACATAAACATGCTCCAATTTTTTTATCTAAGCTTATAATGATCTAGACTGTAGTAGGTTTCTCAGTTTTCTTTGTAGTGAAAACATCATAAACTAAAACAGTTTGTTGTTGATCAAAGAACGAAATTTCTAATTGTAAATCTTCATTGATGATTGCCAATAGGGAGTGGAACTCTGCTGGATAAGACGACGACAACAACAACAACGTAGTAATTTAGTACTCCTTATTTTAGTGGCTAAGTTCAACATCGACTAAAAAGAAGCCATTGATTCAAAGAAAGACAGAAAGCAATACATAGCATACAGAGTAAGATATTATGGAAGGAGAATAGAAGAGAAATAAGAGACTCCGATCAAGCAATCAGAGACTCGTTAAGGTCAGCGGCCGGTGGCGGACAACGACTTGGAGATGCGTTTAATCGATAGAGGAGGGTCGGCTGGGAGTCTTGGTAGTAATCCGATGATTTTCATATTTTAATTTTAAATCATTGAACAATTATTATGCATAAGACTAATACTATGTATTTTTTATTTGGAGGCCCCTTGGCATATGAGGCCCAAGGCAATTGCCTGGGCAAAATGACCCCAAAGACGCCTCTGACGTCTGGGTTATGTTTGATATGAATCTATTTGTGATTTTTTCTAATTTCATTTCAAAGTGGGTGTTACTTGTGGGTGCTTTGGTATGAGAGAGCTAAACCCGATTAGAATTAAGTATTAAATTTGTAAATTCTCAAATTATTTGTTGATTATATTAGAATTTAGCCTGTTTCT